TTGGGGGCTAAGGAAAAGGTTTGAAAAACCCTTATCAAATTTCAAAAATTAGTGTTCAAGAACCCTAATTTTGAAATTCTAGCCTCCTAGGGTTTATTGATCATAAACCCTAAAGTGTCAAATTCATACAATTGTATACTTATAATTGAAAACAAAAAACCATATGCTCTGATACCACTGATGGGTTTTATATAAACAATCATATGTGTGCATGCAACCCTAAACACGGATCTATGTTTTCATTATTAGATACACAACATTCTGAACACATGAAGAACCCTAGCATACTCCTAGGTATTTCGAAATCTTCGGTAGTATAAGGGATTACATACCTCTTCTTGTTATATTGTAATAACAACTCAAATATTCAATCTTCTTGTCTTTGAAAGCAAGTACCACAAGTGTAGTACCTCTAATGGCTCACAAACACCAAGAGCAAATGGAGAGGCAAGAGAGAGAGAGAGAGAGAGAGAGAGAGAAAGAGAGAGAGAGAGAGAGAGAGAGAGAGAAAGAGAGAGAGAGAGGACAGGTAGAAAATCGGCTCTATGAGCTTCTGGGATCAAGTGGCCGATTTTCCTAGGCTGAGGGGTCCTTATATAGGTGTAAGGATTAGGGTTTCAGTCTTTATCCTTATCTGATTGCTTGCCCACCAAGCAGTCCAAAGGATACATCCATAATCCTTATCTTGGACGAATTCTAGGGCCTTATCCCCTTGAAGTCGTCCACCCTATCCCATAGGGCATCCATTGCCCTAATTTGCAACTATCACATAATTACAATTCAACCCCTAGTTTAGTTAACTTCTTTTAATCACAAAATATATTAATTAATTCTTGACCAATGTCAACTAAATAAATATGACTTCTCTTTTAATATATTATTCTTATAATATATTAATAAACTATACCCAGTCAAGTTGTTTTGGTGAAGGCAACCCAAAAGAACCATGCACAACCTGGTCAAATACTTACCAAATATGGTTACGGGCTTGGACACTAATCCAACAAAAAATTCCTCCATTTTAAATTCACTATTTATGTCTCCCGGTGCCGTGTCGGTTTTGCCGTAAAACTTCGACGGACCATAACTTCTTTGTTATAACTCGGATTTCGGCGTTCTTTATATGTACGGAACCCTTGAGACATATTCTACAACTTGGTTACGATTATTTATTCTAAATAATATTTGGTAGAAAATTATTTTTCAACCCCTATTATCTCTAAATTGACTAACACGGATCTACGGGCGTTACAATTATATCCCCCTTAGGATGGTTACGTCCTAGAATCATCAACGAAACACGAATCACATGATGAGTCCATACGTATCTCTTCATCTTAAGTAATAACCATAAATTTGATGTTTCTTCAGACAAGTATATAACTCTAAGACTTCCTGATTGCAGGCGGTGCCAGATCTTGGACCCATTCTCTATCTCATGTTAGACTTCCAATCAGGATCTTCATGTTGCGGTCTCGATTTTTATTGGAGACTACTTCTTTAACAAACTTGAGACAAGTTTCTTCCTTCGATTATCATAATAGACCGACGAGTCATGTTCTAATGACCTCTCATCGTATGATGCATTGCTTGGACTTAGGTCTTTTTGAGTCAAATTCTAGAACAAAATATACCTTCCTTCATGTTCTAACCACATCTTAAAATGTACAATTTCTAGCTACAAGTAAGTTTTCACGATACCTCTACTGATAGCCTTTATTTCAATCTTCCGTCTTAAGTCTGATGCTACATCGAACTTGATTCTTTGAACCACATAACATACTCATCGTAGTCAGATTCAATTTGATATGACCACTAGGGCCGGAATAACAATCATTCTCTTAGTCATTACCGAAACAATGGTAACGACATACTTGTATAAAACGAAATCAATTACTATATTCTTGGTAACCTTGTGACTTTCCCTGATCCAAACGTGAGTCCTGTGCTTCCGGTAGTATAGGCCTCTACTACCTTTCACACCTACTCATACTCGTCCCAAGTATTGTCTTGCAGTTGTCCAAGTCATTATCACATAAGCAATTTTAACACATACAAATGTGTCCAAACAATCATATAATTTTCCCTAGACTCTATTAGGACTTCTTCCATGTGTATCTTCAATCATCAATTCTGCTTCAACTCGGTTGGTGATGGAAATGTCAGACGGTGGGATAACTTCATGGATTATACCAAAAATCTTTCTTTCTACTAATCGAAAGTGTACTTTCCTGTACTAGACGTGTTATTTATTAAACACATTCTAACGGCAAGATATCACTCTTACGATATCTTCTGATAGGTAGCATTCACTATCGTAAGCCTTCTCATTTCCCCCATTTAATCAATTCACTACGAGTCTTCACCGTGATGTTTTGCACACTAGAGCAGTCGTTTGGTGTATCTAGACGAGAATAAAGATACAGGAAGGTTTAGACACGTACTCCTACTTATTACCTCGAACATTATATGCCAGTTCTAATATTGTAATTAAACGTTTAGAAATCTGAACACATAAAATTTCCAGATCCGGTTGGCAACAGACTATAGATCCGATCAAACGATAGCATAAAGCATCACAAATTATTAAGCACATAAAAGCATGTTAGGCATCTTCCCTAAATAAGCTACTGCTTGAGTCTATTCAGGTGTACTACTTAAACTATATTAGACACACCCCTCACGATCATCGCTTAACATTCTAAGTTTAAGTCTAGAAATAAATCCTTATTCCTAGTTCGCTTAAACTAATGCTCTGATACTAACCGTAACATCCCCATTTTCACAGCCAGAAAAGAACGATTTTGTTTATGCTTTATAAAAATTAGGGTACCTCTTTAATAATCACATAGGACATCACCATCACCGATTTGAATCCTTTGGTTTCTGATTCTATTAATGATGTAATCACATTATAATTTTCAGCCATATGTATTAGTTAACCGTGAACTAAACATATTTCAACGTCTTTACCATGATTTACAAGCCTTGCACGTATGTTATTGATTTTGATTATTGAAATATATAATCTAGTGGTTTAACCTATAAAGTAAAACTTAAATACAATTACGCCTAGCTGTTTAAAGAAAGTATATGAAACTTATGGCTAAATAGGTTAAGTTGTCTATTAACCCTTAAAATGCATTAATGGTAATTCTGAAAAATTATCAATTTGTCTCTATTTTAAATAAATATATATAAAAATCACCTAGCATCGGATTAATGATCCGTAAATTCTCTAAGTTTTAATATTGGGCCTATTTTGTCCATGATTTTTTCCAGATGTTGTTGTTGTCTTAAACTTAAGTGAAAATCATCTTTTTCACTGGCTGGTTAGAATTTAGCTTCATTGATATGTAGTTTTGTAAAAATAATATAAAATTTTAGAAAAATCGTTTGGTCATTTAAAAGTACTTTCTGAAATGCTAAAATGTTGAACTTCTGGAATATGAAATAAAAATAGAAATTATACGGTTGCAAGGGTGCTAAAACAACTCTAAACAGGTGGTTGTTTTGGGTCCAAAACTGAGAACTTTGCTTGTTAGTTGATTTATATGTTTGTGTTATGGATTTGTCATCTTTGGCATTATAGAACTTCAATAACCTTTTGTTTGTATTGTAATAAGGGGAAGGGTGATACATCAACCTTTATAAGACTTGAAGTGGGAGTTAGTCACATCTTTGGCAAATGCGAGTCAACTTGTGTTTTTAAAAGTACATTGTTAGGAGTTTACCACATCTTTTTATGTTGACTTCTATGCCATTATTGTTGAAATGTTTTATATGTAATGGTATCTAGAATGTCGCATGCTAGACTCCTCTTTGTTTGGTGAGGATGGGAGCTTTATGGGTAGTCTTAGTTAGTATCTTTAGTTATCATACAAGTTGAACATATTGGGTTTCATCATTAAGTTTTTGTGAACTTTAAATTTTAATGAGTTTGTTTTGACATGAAAGTAAATTTTAAATAAAATAAGTCTTCCGCAACGTATTCTGTTAAATAAATGTTAAAAAAAATATAAAAAAATAAATTTTGGATGAAAAATCACGATGTTACTGTTGTTAAGCAGCTGATATACTCACAAAGTTATTTGTAAGAAACAAATTTAAAGAAATGAGAAGTATGATGGGAGTGAAGAACGTGACGAATTCTGAATTACGAGAGATAATTCTTGGCTTAATTCAAATCCTGGGACAAATAGTGTCTCGGGGTATTTTCGAAATACTTTGTTTTTTAAACGTTTTTGAATTATTTTTGGAGTCTAACTCTTTTAGTATATATTGGGGGTAAATAGAAGTAATTATAGTCAGTTTTCATTCTCGTTTCTAATAAAAGCTTTAAGAACAAGCATGTTTTTCTTCTCCTATTCTTGTTACTTTATTCCCCTGTTGTTCACTGTTTTTCTCTCTGTTCCGATATTATATGTGTGAAATTCTTATCTCAACCTTAGTGAACAAGGTTTAACTCATAGATTTAACTTACAATCTATATTCGATCATACATATCACAAATGTAAATTAAACAAGGTTGTCCATATGATTTCAGGTCGTTAAAAAGCTTCATCTGATGTTCTTCAGGTTATAAACTAGCAAATTAAGTAAATAATTATATATGTTATCTACGATTCGATCATGATACATGTTGGTACTTGGTTAATAGGTAGACAACGAACAAAGTAAATTCATAATGTTAATTGTTATCGTATTATGTTGAAATTTATAGAAATGTACGGATGTATAAAAAATTTCTCCCTTCATGTTTATATTTTATTATGAATAAAATTCCTACTAGCCATGGTACCACCAAACAGATATTAAAACGTCCTAACTAACACACAACTGATTATCAAATTCACAAATAAATAATAGTAGGAATCAAATTTATTCGTGAATCACATGTCATATGATTCTTTACATCATATTGATCATAATAAAATATCTTCCAAATTAAATAAAGCACACTATAGTTTTAAACTTCCATAAATTGAAAAGATACATATCTAGGCGCATTGGAAGCTAGAGGGGACTTTCTTTCCACAGTAGTTAAGCAACAGACTCAAAGAGACGGGAACATTAAGGTGGATTCCCAAGATATTAGCTTTAATGGCAGTGCAAAGACATACTGCAGCCTCAAGATCGGCAAGACCTTGGATAAGGGTACAACATGGTGTCTTCGGTGGGGTTCCAACAACCAAGTGGACAAGGTCATTGAGCAATTTAGCACAAACACCCAATTTGAGAGTGTCTTTTGGGCAAGTTGCTTTGGGAGGGAGTGAAGGCGTTGGAGGTTTCGGTGAAGGTGTTGGAGGTTTTGGTGACGGTGGGCACGACGGCGGTGGCGGTGGTGGGCAACCTTTTGGGGTATGAGTGGATGTTACCAAAGTGAAGAAGAAAAGATTGAAGGTAAGGAGAAAAGCTGTTGACAAAGCTCTTGAAGCCATTTTTAAATGCTTTGGTTTCTTACAAGTAGAAAGTGTTGTAGCACAATTTGTTTTGTGTGAAGATATGCAAAGTGAGTAGGGTATTTATAGATGGAAATCGTCAATAGCTTACCACTAGCTTCCCTTGATTGGTTGGCATTCAATTATATTATTCTAATAATAACTTTTTATTTTATAATTTTATTGACAATGACATGAATTTCGTCAGTGCTCATAAAAACCATATAGGTTAGAAGTTTTTCGTAAAATAAATTTGTAAGGATGGATCATTTTACAAGACAAGAGGTCTTTAAATATTCATAATTAAAATGTTTTCAGAGCAATTGAGATCTTTAAAATAAATATGAAATATCAAGAATTTTTAATTTGCATGGGCTCCATTGATAAAAATGGAATGTGTCAAAATTTTATACGGTTTGTAAATTTTGTTTGAAATTGTATAGTAATGACAAATAATATAATTATTATTTTTTGTTTTTTATATAATTATTGTTTGTTTCGTAAATGTATATTTTATTAAATAACAAATACCTATAAAAATATGTAAACAACTCTTTTTTGTAAAGTATCTACAACGAAATTCTTCTCATATAGCTTATTTTATTTTTGCTTTAATTTTATTGACCATTTAAAATTATTGGAGCACATATCTTATTTGTTTATATTTATTGATTAGTGATCAGTATATTTTTATTTTGGATCCAACCTCTCGTTTTTTAATCGTATTTCATTTGACTCTTTTAATTATGTTTTGGTTTAAATATTTGTTACTTTGTTACTAATTATATATTTCTATTATATAGGGTTAGGTTAATATGAGACGGCTTAATTTTGTGAGACCGTGACTCGTATTTTTTTATTTTATTTTTAAATTTTTTTTAGTTAATTCAAGTTCCAAAAATAATATTTAAAAAAAAGAATTTTTGGATTTTTCCATTTATTTTGCATTTTAAAATTATTTTTTAGAATATATGTCAGTGTAATATTCTATTAGAATATTTCACATATTTTTCAAAAAAAAATGGAATTTATTTTTATTTATTTTTTATTTTTTTATTTTTTTAGTTAATTCAAGTTCCGAAAATAATATTTAAAAAAATAATTTTTAGATTTTTCCATTTAATCTGCATTTTAAAATTATTTTTTAGAATATGTCAGTGTAATATTCTATTAGAATATTTCACTTAATTTTCAAAAAAAAAAAAAAGACGGAATTTTTATTTTTTAGTTAACTTCCGAAAATAATATTTAAAAAAAGAATTTTTGGATTTTTTATTTATTTTGTATTTTAAAATTAGTTTTAGATTTGGTCTCACGGTCTCACAAAATTAGAATGGTTTCAAATGAACCTGAACCTATATATATATATATATATATATATATATATATATATATATATATATATATATATATATATATATATATATAGGTTATGAAACTCAAGTCGTGTGCTAGTGAAGAACTTCAGGTTTTATTCTTGATTAGTTCTTGAGACTTTCAAGACCTTTAAGACTCCCATTGTCCTCTTGAAATATAAGACTTTCTTGTCAGATATTCAAGAGATAGTGTGGATTCTAATCAAGACAAACACTTCACATAATTGGCCTTAGTTGGTCTTTGTTTTATCTAAAACATCACAACTTACCAATTTCAAATGTACAAGAGTAGAAAAGTTTTACACTTACATTTGACATGTGTTTTAAACCTTCTCTAAGACATGTCACTCATGTTACAATCTTGGAGTATGACTCTAAGACTTGTATTGGAACGAATATGACTCATCTTCTTGATTTAACCATTTCAACAATTCAAGATTCCTCTTCTTAGTCATAAGAATGCACTAAGATTTCCTTAGAGAACTAATTGTGCTATGGTTTCTTAATCATTAAGATGATCACAAAAACTGATACTAAAGTCCCATCTTTTTAGATTTGAGAAACTTTTATCTTTCTGCCAAAGTTGATTCTTCTTATTCGCTCTGTCATACATTGGAACCTTTTTCCAATGTCTCATAATTACTCTTAAGCTTGTAAGTATAACCATATTTACTAAGATTTAGTAAATTATGACGAATAATCTTATCGATCTTTTGTGGTGGAATTAATCAGTGCACAAGAATGTGTACGTGATCCCTTAGTCTGTTACTTGACTCACACATCCATGTGAACAAGCAGTTAGTCTTAATTTTCCAAAGATTAAAAATTCTCATTCGTCATGCAACTTGGATGATTCCAAGTTCTAGTCCGATTGAAACTTCGGTGATGAGGATCTTTCCTTATTTGGTAAATTTAGACATTACCAGAAATGAAAGAATCAATTTCATATTTCTACTCTTGCTATTAATGGAATCATATAAGCAACAATTTTTTTTTTCATAAACACCATTGTAAGGATACATAAAATAAATAAAATCAAAATTTTCCTTTTATTTTTTAAAACTTTGCGGAAAAACTTATCCTTACAATCCATATGAAAACTTGTATTTATTTATTCCTAAGCAATATCTCATAACTTCTAAGAAGTAGCTCAAGAATCCGATCTTCAAACTATGCGATAGAAATCCATCTACGCGATTAGATTCAACATATTCTTTCTTTAAGTTTCTTCACTTTTCTTTGATTCTTAAAACATCACCATGTGACCCAGTCACATCATGTATCAAGAATCTCATAATAGAAACTTAACAGAGTTAGATAATTAACTTTACCTGAAGTAGTGTCAAACTTATTGACTTTAACACCCTTAGGTAAATTGGGAGCTTCGAAACCAATTCCCCTTCCTTTGGCTTTAACATATGGACGCTTTGGTAATGGAACATGGGACTATCACAGACTTAGCCTTTCTCTTTACCATTTGGTCAACCGAGTTGAGTATGGCCGATCCCTTTCCATTGGGAAGAGAGAGCTTTACTGGATATCCAATGTTATTATTGTCAATGTCCACAAGTTTTAAGAAGTTGATCTTAGCACATAGATAAGATCATTAAGGGTCTTGTTATAGTCTGTTTCATAGGAGTCCCAAAGGAACTCACTATGTTACTTAGAAAGTGATTGGACATCCAAATTTCTCAAGACTTTGACACCTAACTCTCCCGGCTTGTCAAAATGTGACTACATCTCCAAGATGTGACCACACATAGACCTTTATTTTCCAATAGGGCTTGAGTGACCTTAAACTTTTCAAGAACTTGCGGGTTAGGGAGAATAATTGGATGAGGTGAAATAAGTGAAGTTCCAATAGATTTAGGAGGATCATAGATGCCTGAACTAGACATCTTTTGGGAGACATTCAAGATAGTTGATTAAAAGTCCTTAATATAACACCCAATATGAGATATTAAGGCTAGGACCCAACACAATACTTTTATAACTTGGAAGAGGGATTTCGTAATCCAAGCTATAAAATATTTGAAGGTAGCCGAATGACGATTCACCAATTTTCCACCATGAAAAGGAAATATATATTATTAGGTTTTAATTGGTTTTTGAAACTCCTGGATCTTTGAGATTCATTGAACTTTTTAATGGCATGTTTCAATCCCGAGGGTTCCCTTCAGGTTTTGTGACTGGGATGTCGAGGATCACAAAACAAGGTGTGAAGTAACCATGCAAATTACTTGGTACCCTTAAGTGTTTACCCCTCAACCGATGTGTCAGTTAACCACACACACTCCCTATATACTATGATAAACATTAAGTTACCCTTTTCCTACCTTGTTAAATACAAGTTAGTGTGCCGGTTAACCACACACGCTCCACTAACTGACTTAAACAAAGTGCAAAGTGTAATTTCATGGATTAGCACCTTATTCACTTTTTCATAAGTAATTTAGATTGGGTATTTATACAAGGTTTAGTTACTTAGTATTTATCATTAATACTTTTAATGAAGGGATAATTATATTCCTTGTCCTACCCGTTCGGCTAACGATCCTCCACCAATCAAGGAAGTTGTGGGTGAGAGTGGAAACCCATTAAACTGCCATTTTATAGGCAATAACCTTATACCCCCCTTTTAGACCGGCTTCGTGAATGAGACCTACTAACGGTAAGAATGACTTTACTCTTATACATTAATATAAATATTATTAACTTATAATATTATAAATTATAATGGTTGAATTTTAACTTTTAAAATTCTAAGGGCTAACTTGGAATTAAAGTATTCATAAGTGAAAACTTTTCAAATTCCAAAACTTGAGGGCAAGTTTTGGAACTATTCAAAACTAATTAATTCCAGAACTTAAGTGTTTAAAGTGGTTTTAATAAAAAGAATCTTCAAGTTCCATAACTTGAGGACAAGTTATGGAAGACTTTAAACTAATAAAAGAATGTACCTTTTCTTTATTTTGTAACTTATGGAATTAATTAAGGTTACACATTTTTTACTTAATGAAATGACTCTTGAACCTCCATAACTTGAGGACAAGACTCTTCATTTTTGTAACCATTGCCAACTTTTATGAGTTTTATGAAACTTAAATGTGACTTTTCATATAACTTAAGGAAAAGTTACAAAAACACATTTTAGAATCAACTCTTAGATTAAAATGGATTGAAAACACATAATCAATTAACTTTTCTATTAATCTAAGAAACTCATAAGAACAAAGATAATTCACATCAAACTTTTTCATGTAATTAGCATAACTTTTAAACTAATAGAAAACATGAATCTGTTGACAATTATCTTTGAAATTGGATTAGCAAGAACATTACCACATCAAAAACAAGTTTATAAGTCCAAAAACAGCTTAGGGTAACGTTCCTAGTCCATTTCTAGCCAAAAAAAACTCAAAAATATGTTGTCTAGGGCTCCTACTTGTTGAGTGTATCAACCTACTCAACGAGTAGGATGAGTTTCTCCTTGGACTCGGCAAGTTCATCAGTGGACTCAGCGAGTCTAGTGCCCAGAAAGCCAGAAAATCGATTTTTTCAGCATTTTTCAGCAATTTGCATCAAGTATAATTGAAAACAAGCCTAGGCTCTGATACCACTATT